GGGGGGGGGGGGGCGGCGGCGGCGCTGGGCGCGCGAACACCGCAGCGGGCGCTGCTGCAGCAGCAGCAGCCACCGCCGCCTTCTCCGGGGCAGCAGCAGCAGCAGCAGCAGCAGCAGCAGCAGCAGCGCCTGCTGCTTCTGCTGCTCCCGCCAGAGACAGCACTCCCCCCAGACCTCCCGGCGAAAGCGACAGCGAAGAGTCCCCTGCTGCTGCTGCTGCTGCTGCTGCTGCTGCTGCTTCGGCGCTCGCCTCTGTAGAAGCCGAAGTCGCCACGGGCAGCACTGAATCTCCTGCTGCTGCTGCTGCTGCTGCTGCTGCTGCTGCTGCTGCTGCTGCTTCTGTTGGCACCCTTCTAGAGGGCACAATCGTCACGGGTATTGCTGCGTCGTCTGCTGCTGTTGTTGCTGCTGCTGCAGAGCTTTCTGCTGCTGCTAGGTCCACTGCTGCTTCTCCGTCCTCCGTAACTTCTGCTGCTGCTGCTTCTTCTACCTGCTGCTGCTGCTGAAGGAAAAAAACCCATAAGGCACAAACTATAGCCAATTTCATCTTTAGAAATTTCTAGCTGCTGCTGCACTTGCTGTTGCTGCTGCTGCTGCTGCTGCTGCAGCTGCTGCGGCCGTCGCGACGCGCGCAATGAAAGACCTGTTCCTCAGACTTCTGTTTTTGCCACTGTGTCCATTGCTGCTGCTGCTGCTTTTGCAGTTGCTGCTGCTGCAGCTGCTGCTGCTGCTGTGCTGCTGCTGCACGGCTGCTGTGCGGCTGCTGTGCTGCTGCTGCTGCTGCAGTTGACCCAGCCACTAGCTGCTGCTGCTGTACAGGCAATTGGCAGCAGCTGCTGCAACACACTTTCGCAGAAGACTGGCGGCTGCACCCCTCACGTCCAAACTGCTGCTGCCGCTGCTGCTGCTGCTCGTGTTGCCACTGTTGCTGCTGCTCTGCTGCTGCTGCAGTTTCCTTCGCAGCTAGTACAGCTCCTTTTGCTGCTGTTGCTGCAGTTCCTTTTGCTGCTGGCGGTGCATAAGGGTGTGGCGTACAGCTGCACCGGCACAAGCAATACGAGGAAACAACTCAAACGAGTGCTGCTGCTGCTGCAGCAGCAGCAGCAGCAGCAGCAGCGCCTAATCGCCCCCAGCAGCAGAGGGCCAGGCCTAGAGCTGCTGCTGCCTGAATTGCATGCAAAAGTAATTGAAAAAGAACAAATAAAAGCAAACAAAGTTGCTGGGAGTGCAGAGAGCTTCCTCTGTCGGTGTATGTGCGCGGCGCAGCAGCAGCAGCAGCAGCAGCAGCAGCAGGAGCGCAGCAGCAGCAGCGCTGCTGTTTCGAGTTTGTGCTGCTGCATGCACAGCCAATAAAGCCTCATTAGCCTTCTTTGTTTAACAAATTTATTTTTTAATTTATTTTCAACTTTTATAAATATAAACAGCAGCAAAAAGATCCACGCGGCTACTCCGGGCAAACCGTGCACGGGCTGCCGGCGTGCTAGGGTTTAGGGTTTGGGGTCTAGGGTTTAGGCTTTGGGGTTTAGGGTTTAGGGTTTAGGGTTTAGGGCTTAGGACTTAATGGAGCCATTAGTTGTTGCCAAACCTGCTGCAGCAACAGCAAGGCCTGGAGCTTCAACTTTCCCTACTTGCAATCACCGCAGTGCTCTTACAGCAGCAGCAGCAGCAGCAGCAGCAGCAGGAACGGCAGCAGCAGCAGCAGCAGCAGCAGCAGCGGCCAGCAGCAGAGAGTGCCTCGCCTGCCAGTTTTCCCAAGTCGGCCTCAAGATCAGCAGCAGCAGCCCCTGCGGCAGGTTCAGCAGCAAGATGCGCCCCACACCGCCAGCTGCTGCTGCTGCTACTGCAGCAGCAGCAGAAGCGGCTCCTGCTGCAGCGATCCCTGCTGCTGCAGCAGCTGCTGCGCCTGCTGCAGCGGCTGCCGCTGCCTCTCCAAAGCTTGCTTCTGCTTCTGCGCGGGGCGTCGAGCCTGCAGCAGCAGCAAGCAGCAGCAGCAGCAGCAGCAGCAGCAGCAGCAGAAGTGGGCAAGGCGCGTCGCAGGGGCAGCAGCGGCAGCAGCAGCAGCAGCAGTCTGGCGGGGCAGTATCCTCAGCAGGAGCAGCCTCAAACGCAGCAGCAGCAGCAGCAGCAGCAGCAAAACTCGATGAAGCAGCAGCAGCAGAAATGAGAAAAAATGGACCCTTAGTGGTTATTGTCACGGGCATGGCGGGCAGCGGGAAGACAACGCTGGTGAAGGCCATGCAGGAGTAAACCCTAAACCCTAAACCCTAAACCCTAAACCCTAAACCCTCGTTGTGGCCGGGGCCCTGGAGGCCTCCAAGAGGGATTTGCTGCTGCTGCCTGCTGCCCGTTTGCTGCTAAGCAGCTCTTCGCGCCTTGCATTAGGGTTTAGGGTTTATCATTTCCGTGTTTAGGGTTTGTTTATTAGGGTTTGGGGTTTACGAGGGTTTAGGGTTTAAGAGGCCCGTTTAGGGTTTTAGGTGTTGCTGAGGGTTTGTGGCTGCGGTTTTGAAAATTAGGGTTTACGAACTAAAGCTTGCGGATGAGTATCGTTCATGGTTTAAGGTTTAGGGTTTAGGGTTTAGGGTTTAGGGTTTATATTTTAGGACTCAGGGTTTAGACTTCAAGATCAGGGTTCAGGGCTTAGGGTTTAGGGTTTAGGGTTTAGGATTCACGGCTAAGAGTTTCGAATTCAGGGTTTAGGGTTTATTGTTTCCTGTCTGTTATTCACTGTTTATTTTCCTGTTTATTGTTGACTGTTCATTGCTTAGGGTTTAGGGTTTAGGGTTTAGGGTTTAGGGTTTAGTGTTTCGTGTTTATCCTTCACTGTTCACATCCAATTGCTTCCAGTTCGTTCTTCACTGTTCACTGTTCACTGTTCATTGTTCATTGTTCAGGCTTTAGGGTTTAGGGTTTAGGGTTTAGGGTTTAGGGTTTAGGGTTTAGGGTTTAGGGTTTGCTGCAGGGTGTTGAC